TTTACATTGGCAATATTTCTCTAGAACGTAAGCTTCCATCACTAATTTGGCTCTAAAGTAGACAAAAATTAAGAATTTCATCTGTTCTTCCATAAGATCTCATATTTCACCGTTAAAATTCAACACAAGTACTAGCTCATAATACATAGATGTAATGATCTCACCATCAGCTACACGCTCATGTGTTCACCGACTCTTCAAACATCTCCCTTTTAGGATTATACCGCAAAAAACATCGAAAAAGTGAAAAAAAAAGGCCAATCCTTCACTTGTTTCGATTTTTTTTACAAAGATATCGAACCAATTACTTCCAATCAAATAGAATCTTGTGCAGAATAGTCAATTCTATCGGAAAATGCTATCTAACAATTAAAAAAAATACTTCTAGAAAATAATTTTTTTAATATGAACAAGTCGTAATATTCGAAAATATCACCCTCAAGTTTTGTAATACGTCTCAGCAATTTTGCCAAATGTGGAATGAAAAGCCACATATCACAGATTGTAGAGCGCAAGTTCTACTATTAGGATCTGTGTTTAGTTTTGTTAGTGCTGTTACTTTATGTGGAAAAATTCTGACATCATGGTATAAAAGTGGTACAAAAGTACATAATTGAGCAAGTAATTCCTCTTTTGTGTCGTCAATAAATATACTCAGCTCAAAATTGATCGCAGATTCAGAATCTACGTCGAAATCTACGTATATAGAGTTAGTCTCGCATTTACCTATGCGTACAATAGTCTAGCAACCGATATACGAAAGTGCTATACATAAAAATATATTTATATATCAAATTTTTTTTGTCTTTATTTTTTTCGTTCTGTATGCTATGCTTTCTGGAGCAAAGAAGAAGGTAATTAATACAAAAAAGAAATGGAGATACGATATATGGTAGATCATTGATATGCTCTTTTATTCAACCATCTACTATGGAATTAAATTTTTTCTGTTTTGTTTTTGTTGTTGAAATATTTTTCTAAAATCGAAAAGAGTGCATTATGGAAGAATGTGAGTGATGCGAAAAGTAGCCTACCGAATCTGACTGCTTTCGTTGAGATCTTGAGCTTCTTGCAGTCCATCTTAATCAGTATCATTGCCTGATGTTTCACCTCCATCTGAATCAGTATCATCATCTGATGTTTCACTTCCATCTGAATGCCGGTCTTGATCTGATTCTTCTTCCTCGTCGCCTGATTCTCTATTTGTTATAGCTGTATAGGTGGTTTTTTTTAGATAGTACGAAGCTTTAGCAGTCACAACTGGTTCATCATCATCTAACCGTTGCTGTTGGCGTTGAGCAGTATCTTCATCTTCATCATCGTCATTGATCTCCTATGAAATCAGACAGCATCTTTTAAGGAAGCATTGAAGCAGAACTTATACTTACTTCATCAACTGCACTTGATAAAGATTGAAGTGACTTTCTTCGATTAGCTGTTTTCGACGAAAAATAATTTGCAATTTGTTTTTTATTCAAATATTGATGAGGACGAAATAGCTTATTATTCTTATTATCACTTTCTGTTCGCATTAAGTCTGCTGCTTCAGCCGCAGAGACTTTCTTTTTTGATTTTTCGCCACGTTCATACAATTTGTTTAAGAACTTGATTTGTTGTATCGATAACGAAATTCTCATTGATCGTTTTTGTTGAGCCCAACCTCGATCCATCCAAATAGAATTAGGAAGAGAGTTTTTCGTTGTAGATGATGTGGAAATTGATGCAACAGAATGTGTAGTTGAATTATTGATATTTGAGGCACCTTTAAGGTGATCAATAAAAGAAATCTTTGCTTTTTCTGTAATCGAAAGACTTTGAGCATCAGTATTTTCTTGCAAATACTCATGTTGGCTGGTTTTTAAATGTTGTTCAAGTTCTTTAACATCAGCAAATGTTGACACACAATGTAAGTTTGAGCAGAATAAAATTGACGACTTTTTTGATGATGGTTTTGTTTGTTGGGATGATTGTTTTGCAGGATTAAGCTTTGTACCTTGAGAGAAAAGCAGAGGAAACTGACTAGTTACTGTTAATCCTGACTTGAATTGTTATTCTTTGAACAGTGGTAATTTTAGAAGACGACCAGAGCCAGTTTCATATTGTTTCCATGCTCGTGCATTGTTATTATCAAATTCATAACTATGATATTGAGTGGATCCTTTTAATTTGACCAACTTAAGTGTCTTTTGTAAAAGAAAAAACTATTTTGTAATGGTCAATTTACGGTACTTTTCATAAACGCTTTCACCTCAACACTGAGTTTTTCTCTACTAATAGTCTAAAGCTTCTTCAAAAGTGTTCAAACAGAAACGTAGAACTCTTCTGAATTCGATAATCTCTAAGCTAGATAAATCAACTCCAATAGCTTTATTTGTTTTTATTATGACAGGAAGAGACATCCATAGAGCTATACAACTTTCTAGGCACTTATACCATGCGTCCTAGCAGGTAAAACAGTTGTCTTCCCCAATGATGATCTAGACCCAGGCGTTCGAAAGCAAACCTATTCTTACCGTTCTCTTCAATATTGACAACTGCGACTTTCGTGTCTTTGACTCCTCCACTCCATTCAGCAGCTTGTTTCATTTGAAGAGCAGTTGTGACGCTATTTCCAGCAGATATGTAATAATCACGATGTGTTTTCGTGCATGTACTTTCTCTATCACATTGATCTTTACCTTTACCCAGCTTCGTTAAAATCGATACGTTTCAAGGTAAAGCCGTTGTGTTGGCAAATGTATTTTGTAAGATATATTTGTGCTCCACCAGAATAACACGTTGCGTTGTCATTTCTTAAGAAAATATCTTTCACTTGTGGAGCATCAATATGGAACTGCTTCAAAACATGATCAGCTACAGCTCCCACAGCATGCATATCTTGACTGGATTGATCGAGCATCGTCAAATAAACATATTTTTGTAGAATTTGTTGATTATCACTCGTTGTCTTTCCAGATAGTATCAAAAAAATGTCAACTTCTTGTGACATTCCTCTTTTACCGAACCAACTACTAGCTTTCTCACGATACTCCATGGGTAATACCTTCATGCTTCAACCTCTAAGCCAAAATGCTGCGTCAGGCTTAAGATTGTTCAAAATATCAGTTTTTGATTTTGATTGAACAAAATGACGAACAAGATGTTTCTGCCACTCATAAATGTTGTTAATGCTAGCAGTACAATCGTATTTCCATTCATCTTTTTTTGGATTATTAGACGTCCGAATTAGTTCTGTTATTTGACTGAATGTTACAAGTAAGTTTGAACAGTTTTCACAGTCATTATTGTGGTGATGATTGCAGCTAATATAGAAATCACTTTTCGAATCAGAATCGGAAAGAGCAAAGTTGACACAATGCGAGGCAACATTTGACTGTAATGATAAATTTAACGAAAATCCGTTTTTTAAATATCTTTTAGCTTCATGTAATTGCATTATTATTCGTTTTTGTTCGTATTTTGTAATTGGTAATGATGTAACGAGATTCTCTAAGACATCGAAGCTTTCTGTTCCACCTGCGGTGTAATCATCAAGACCAGCAAGCGACTTTCGTTGAGACATTTTACATTCATTTAATACACGATATAACGAACGGTTTGATAGACGTTTAAAGGAAATTTGTTGACAGTATTCATCGTAGGCATAAACTATATGAGAATTAATGCATTTTTTAACAACGAGTGGTATTGTGAATGTTTCATTCATTGTTCGAATCTTTGTTGTGCCGTACGCGACGTCCTGTACGAAATCATGATCGAATAGAAAATCCATAAAATGTTTTATTCTATTAAACGAGACTCGAGCACGATGAAAATGTTGTCGAGGTATAATAGAACCAGAACCCTTCTTTAATGCATGTTGTAATGCTTTGGTAATCATATAATCAGTGCAGCTGAATGCAGATTTAATATCGGTGGAAGAGTAATTTTTCTTTACAACGATAGATAACAACTGAAGTTTTAATCGACTGTCCGTACTACTACCATAAATTTCTTTTATCGACTCTAGTATTTTATCGTCGTTCAAAAATTTATCATATTCTTTACGAAGAAACGTCAGAACTTCACATAAATCTAGTAGTTCTTTGGAATGACCAGGACAAATCGCTTTAGCAAAAAATGAAGTGGATCCCGTTAGAATAGGAAGAAGAGATTGCTTTAACATATTTTATTGTCTTTTGCTTGTGGAAAATGGAGAATTTTTAACTTGATAGACAATAGGATTTATAGACGAATTTATTTGACGAAGGATTTCATTAACACTTGCTTTTTGAAACGAGGACAGTTCTTCTTCCCAGGCAAGTTCGTGACTTTGTTGACTGGTGGTGGTGTTGAGATCAGAAAATGACTTGTTTAGTTTATCGTTATCTAAATGTAAACAAAAGTAAGTACGTTAGCGATGCTAGCGAGAAAAAAGCCTTTTCGTTTATCAGAGGCAGTGCTATGAAAGCAAATGAACACTTCTTCAAATGAAGGTTTGAGTATCAAGCGCGAAATCTCGGTAGAACCTGTTATTTTTGCACTCTCAATTTATTCTACTTTACGTTGAGCTACTAAATAAACTTTGAAACCGTTCATGCAAAATAGAAATTTAGATTTAATAAGTCTATGTGTCGCGCTCACGTAAAATCATTTTCTTCGCAAGCATCTACAGTCTTCTTCCCAAACATTCTAGCAATTTTTTTACGGAAGTTTAAAGTTTAAATGCTCTGCTAAAATAAATATAAGCATTTTTAAAGAAGAAATATACCAAAATCTAGATTCTCGATATTTCGAAAATTGTATAAATTTGTTGGACGTTTTTTGTAACATGTTAAAGCTTCCTTCACTTCGTCCTGCTCCTTCTCTTCCATTGGAGATACACCACCTGATTCAGACTTTCTGTTTTTCATCGCTTCTTCTTCTTGACGACGACAAAGTCTACAAATACTTCCTTCTAAAACCGCGAATAAGCTGCAACAATAATGAGCAGTATAACATTTATAAATGAACTTACTTATAGGAAACTTGTACCGATGTTTTGTTGAAATATAACGTGACAGATTCAAAGACGCTGATTCTGAAGAAGCAGATTTATTAGTGCAGTTTGGATGCTGACAAAAACGGGATGGTTGGTAATAAATTCCGAATTTGTATCGATGTTTTGCATAGATTTCTCGAATATCCGTTACTTCCACATTTGATAAGCCACAGCGTGATACAATCAAGTTCAGTTCCGAGACATAATCCAATCCTACTCTTACATTTGATTTCAATTGATCAATTGAAAACACGTCTGAACTCTTTGCCTTTATGCTTGGTCCACAGTCGTGTAAATGATCATAAAAGGAACAGTTTTGAAATTTCGAATCTTGACCTGTCGTCATTTTCGTTTAAATTTGCGCTCAAATTATAAATGGTTTATGTTAAACATACGATTTGTAACCATTTTGAAAAGTGAACGATGTCATCCTCACAAAATAAACGATTTTCAAGAAAAAGCTATTTTTTTTCTGACGTCATATTATCTGCAGAACGAAAAGAAATTCAAACATTTTCTATTTTTTCTCCTCACCCACATGAATATTGTACCGTGAGTAAACATAACAACACTAACAAGAGCAAAGAAATAGCTGTACAGAACGAAAAAAATAAAGACAAAAAAAATTTGATATATAAATATATTTTTAT